GTATCTATTGAAAGTGTTTAAGAAAATATCAATAAAACTAAAGTTTTCTGCTTTATTTATTATGATTTGTTTTCTATTTTATATAGTGTCCAATTTTAATTAACTTCGCATCCTTGCAGCCATAACAAAAACAGTTCTTTCTTTTTTTTAATGATACATTTTATTAAAATTGCTATATGCAGGGACACCATTACTCATTTGTATAAGGCAGCATGTCTCATCATTAAGAAAGAAAAATCATTGCAAGTCTTGGATCTTTTCTGTTAATTTATCCCAAAAATTAATTCACCACAAAATAAAAAGAGTTTATATTTACTAAAATTCACACCAAATTCTCCTAGAGTGAGCACTTCTATAGCACTCTAGTTGCATTGATCTTTGCAATTCCCCCCAAAGTGGGAAAGTTTGCTGCACTACTTATGGAGTCTATGTTTGTGCTCACCCTGATAAATAAGCAAAAAACAGATATTTTTCTTTTTTTTTAAATTGTAAAAAATCCCTTGTATCTACCTTGAACATCATCAATACTTACAGAATGTGAATAACTCCTTGATTTTTGGAAATTTTTCATTTTGAGGATCAGAGGTATTGCAAGCAAACTAAACAAATTTTGGTTTAAAATTTATAATTTCTTGAGGTGAATTAATATTTGTGATGAATATCTTTACATTATTTGGGTTGAATTAACAGAAAACCTCCAAAGTCTTTGTAAGACTTGCATGTCTATTTATAACTAAAACCATTTTTAAACACATTTGTATTCTTATTCATGTAAGATATATTTGTCAAAGTAAATTTAGCATATTTATCCAGATGTATGTATATTTACATATATAATATAGAAAATTAAATATGAACAGTGTTTTTTTGTATATATGTATATTTCATCAATATATAAACCTTATTTATCCATGTGTACAGTTTAGTAATAAGTTTTTAAGAAATGCAGGGTATAATTTCATGCTTAATATAAGATGAATAGTCTGCATTATGTCTATGCTTATTTTACATGTTTGTGTTATGTATGTGTATACACTTATGAAGATATGTGTATATAACATGCATACAAGCAGGCAGCTCAATCAATTCAATATAAATACATGTATATATTTCAAAGAATTCATATTTTATTTGATTTTCTCTTTAAAATTCTTGAATGCAATGACTGCATGAAATAGAGAGACCTCAATAGATGCAAGTAGGAAAAAGAATACTGTATATTTCCTTCCAGATCCTGGAGCCCAAGGGCAACCTCTTGCTTCGTGAGATGAGAGAAAATATTTCAGGGAGCATCTACACCATCAACTAAATGAACAAATCAGAAGATATGCATTGACACAGTGCCGAGCAATCATATAATATTTCTTTGCTAAGCATTTCTCTATCACTCTGCTTGATTAAAATTCACCTATAACGATACATTAAATAAATCAAGTTGCATCTAGCAAGCTACTGGGAGAAGGTACCTGAAAGGAGCATTTTTGCATTGTTTTTTTTTTTTTAATAATACAGAAATACTTATATAAAGACAAAATTCATTTCAAAATCTGACCTTGGTTTCTTAATCTGTTTTGCAAAAGGCTAAGGCAGATCATACTGATATCCTGAAACATTTTAAGAACTGGCTTTACTCTTTTGCACCACATCATCATGCCACCTTACATCTCAATAAATATTTAAAAATTGATTGATATAAATGAATTTTGAAAGTTAGAATACTCAAAATGCTGTTAATTAAAAATAACAATTAATAATTAAAAATAATAATATTTAATAATAAACTAACTCATCCTCACATTTTCAAAATGAATCAAGGGTTTTAGTCTAAAAAATTATCTTGCTGCTAATTCAAACTAAATATAAATGAATTTAGGTAATAATGACAAAAGTATAAATGGCTCAATTGGAAAACTAGGGAAAAGAGTCTCCATCTGATAGTAGTTGATTTTATAATCTGTTTTGTATATATGTATTCTTGAAAGCAAATCTTCTCTTTTCCTCTATTTCTTAATAAACCAGAAGTAAAATAAGCAGACAACAACTGTCTCCTAACTAGAAATTCAACTTGAAATAGCATAAAAATTAAACAGCTACTGGTGTTTAATTTTGAGCTATTTAATGAGTCTATTTTCCACATGTGCCTTTTTTTCTTTTTTTTTTCAATTGTGCCATTATTATCAGTGCCATTATTATTGTTCACCATATATAAGGTTTTGATGTTTAAAACATTAATCCACTTCACATTTTTAAACTAGATCAAGGATTTTAGTGTAAAAAACTTAGCATACATTATAATTTCAACTAAATCATGGATTTTAAAATAAAAGAAATATTTACCTTGCCTCAGATTTTCCAACTGAATCTAAAGTTTTAGTCTTTACCTCACTACATATTTTCATGGTAAATCATGAGTTTTATTCAACCTTCTATTTTTAACCTAAATTAAGATTTTTAATATTTGAAAAACTACATTTTTTATTTAAGTACAAATGTGAGGTGGGAAGTTTTATTTTTGCTCTAGGATTCTTGATTTAGTTAATATGAAATATGAAGCAGGTTTTAGTCTAAAAGAGCAGCATATAGAGTATTTTTAACCTTCAGAATTTATTGAGATCGATCAAATTTTAATATTTATTGAGGTGATGTAAGATGGTGCAAAAGAGAAATAACCTTTAAGAACTGTTTACTCAGTTTGTGAGAAAAATCCCACTAATATCTATGGCATATATAAATATACCAGCAACTTTGTATACCAAATTTTTATATCAATAAATTAATGACTTGAAGTCTATCTCAATTTAATCACAACTTTGCATTTGACAATATAATCTTGATTGGAAAGCATGGTTATAAATAAACAAATGCAAAAAAAAATCAGACAACAGTTGAGTACTTTCAAGTGTCTGTAAATGTGTTTCTTCCATTCATTACAAAAGCATATAACTTGCAGTTATAAACATACAACAAACTGCATGTTACTATTATTTGATTGTGTGATAATCCTACATACTAGATATTTTTATATTTTATCAAAAATATTTCCAGCAAGTAACACTTTTATTTTTAAACATGGAAACCTTTTCAAATGACTAGTAACTATATTAGATATAAAAAGCTACAACAATAATTTTAAAAGCTGTTTTCCTATACAAAACCTTAAACATTATAAGTCATATCTTGACTTATTTTATTTTTAATTAAAATTTTAATGAATTCAAAAGTGCTATATAAATACTAAAATAGTGTATAAATACAAAATAGAAAAGGCATTGAAAAGTAGGACATTTATATTTCTTGAATGTGTATGTAATAGCAAGTTTGGTAACCCAAATATTGATTACACACCTTAAAACTTGTCAAACTACAAATTGATGCAATAACCTCTGAGCTACACTAACAAGCCGTAAAAACTAAACTTAAAAGTGGTACAGTTCCTTGACATTCTGTAAAGGGAAATTCCAATTTTGGTGCCTACTCAACTACTGAATAATTTTTTGAAATAATGAATGAAAAAGACTGTTTTTGCCAGAGGAAATAATTCAAATGTTGCCATTGCATCTGATTGAGAGTTTATCTTGTGAAATCCTATAAAATTCAACTCTTCCATTGTGCTGGTGATCCAATCTTGTTGGCAGAAATTTAAAAAAAAGTAGACATACAAACAAAAAAGTGGGCTTAGATTGATTATATGATTATTTGTTGCTTTTTTTTCAGGGTGGTTGGTTTGGGTGCAAGGAAGAATCCATTTTGGGAATGGGAATTTGAAGAGTGCTGCAAAGCCTACAGGAAATTTGAATATGGAAGATATTGCTTTAAATGAATAGGAAGAGGGAAAGAGAAGAAGGAAATTAGGGAAGAGAGAAAGTCATGGAAAAAAATCAAAATTGGAAGTAATGGAAGTGAAAGGAAAAATAAATGGAAGGAAGAAGACCAAAATGAGGAGAAAAGAGAACAAAATTCACCAAGAAAGAGAGAGAGAAGAGATAGTGGAGTAAAGGGAATATTAAGGAATGAATGAGGAAGGAGAATTTTAAAAAAAGCAAAGGAATAATAAAATGAGAGAGTGGGTTTTTAATGACAGAAAAAAATATGTAAGTAAAAAATTCTAAAGGAATGTATGAATAAGGCAAGTTGCAGTGAAAATGATATGAAGAATGAGAAAATAAAGGAATAATTAGCAAAGACTGTAAAGGGAAAGAAGGAATGATAGAATAAGGAATAGAAAAATGACAAAGACTGTATAAGGAAAGAGAGAAACTATGAACCAGGGTGATAGAACCTAAAGGGAAAGAAGGAATGATAGAATAAGGAATAGAAAATGACAAAGACTGTATAAGGAAAGAGAGAAACTATGAACCAGGGTGATAGAACCTAAAGGGAAAGAAGGAATGATAGAATAAGGAATAGAAAAATGACAAAGACTGTATAAGGAAAGAGAGAAACTATGAACCAGGGTGATAGAACCTAAAGGGAAAGAAGGAATGATAGAATAAGGAATAGAAAAATGACAAAGACTGTATAAGGAAAGAGAGAAACTATGAACCAGGGTGATAGAACCTAAAGGGAAAGAAGGAATGATAGAATAAGGAATAGAAAAATGACAAAGACTGTATAAGGAAAGAGAGAAACTATGAACCAGGGTGATAGAACCTAAAGGGAAAGAAGGAATGATAGAATAAGGAATAGAAGAAATAGAAAAGGGACAATAGGTATTTAAAACTATGATATATTAACTAAAGAAAGAAAATCAAGAATGAAAGGAAATTTCTTTACAGTTTCTCAGAATTCTTATTCCCCCCAGAAATACTTTCATTTTTCAATTCGATAAGAATAGCTATTTTCAAATCTCTTCAAATGATAAAACTGGTAACAGATTTTGAGATCAGAATTCAAGATTTTTATTTATCAATTGGCACCAAATGATTCCAAATTATTGCCTCATCAATATATATCTTCAGTTTCTTTTTTATTTGCCTTCAAAGAGATACGTAATTTCCCACCTTATAGAAACTGTAAGACACAACTGTAAAGAAAGCTGTCCTGAATTTGAATAGGATAATAATTGGCCCTTTAATAAGAATGCCAAATATAATTCTTACTGGATTTTCAGTTTCTTGTGTCCATTGCTTGTATATGTTGGCATAATTCCTCTCATTTTATTGGTCCATGTAAGCACTGAAGACTTGTACATAGTATTACATTCATCTGTTTGGCTTTGGTTGTCATTCATCCAATGAGGTAGAGAGTAACATATCCAGGAAAGTTCTCATTTGCCTCTTGGCTATAAGTTGGCTACTGTCATCTACTTGCAGGGTATTAGATATTAATCTCCGAGTAACATTCAGATTTTAGATTTGGATGTGTGCCTTATAGATTTAGAAACCTTTCAGATTCTTTACATCCTCTACTCCATCCAGATTTACCTGTTGTCTTTCATGATAATTACTGCCTGAATAGTAAACAGATAATCAGATTAAATTTTGCAAAGCAAAGCTGATATTTGAACCTGACATTTTTCTCTTGATGTTTGTGTCTTAATTAAATCCAAAAATCACATTTCTAAATGTATTTCACTATCTGACATTCTTGCCTTTGTGTTGGTAAAATACAAAAATTATTGTGGTATCTTATATGAAACACAGAATTAAATGTAAAAAGGTGATGCTGAAAAGTTTTTTCCCAAAATCTTACTAAGTAACTAATTAGTATTTTTAATCCCTTCTTGAATGAGCTAAAAACTTTTCAGCACCCCTCATACTTATTTACATTTGTATTTATGGCCTCATCATTGTGATAATAAGAAGAATGAGGATATGTCCAAATTTAAGTAACGGTAACTCCTCAATATCTGTCTATATTTCTGAGACAAGGTATTGTAACTATTTACAGCATTTACATTGTTCATACCATTGTCGTTATCTTTGCTGTCATACTTACTCATTTCAGTTGTTATACACACTGGCTTCAGGTGAGTGGCCCAGTGGATAAAAGCTTTGGTTGAAGTAATCTAGCGACTTGCCCCAAAGACTTGTGAGTTCAATACCTGACCACAGTAAAGGTGATCAAAAACTTGGAGAGTTGAGTTACTAAAGTGAAATAACTGAAACTGAAATATCCAGAAAAGGCATGGCATGTGGAAGTAGAACAATCTACTTTGGTGGATGAAATAAAGGGTTTGGTTTGAAATTCCAGTCATCTGAAGAAGACTAGAACATACAATGGCTGAAACATTGTGAATATAATAACAAAGATGAGGACAACAGTCTGAACAATGTAAATAGTGTAAATGGTAATGCCTCATAACAGAAATTCAGACTCTTTGTTGACACTAAGTGAAAAGATTTGATTGTCTTTTTCATATAATATCTACATTTTTCATAGTTTTATGGTAAAGTGTAGAAAAGCAAATTTGAAAGGGTATAGAAACTACTGTTAATGAACAGTTTTTGAGAATTGTATTTCTTGTCTGACTTCCTCATTTTGACCTTTGAGGTCAGATACAGAAAAGCAAGGTAAGTCATTTTGATTGGCTAAAAGTAGTGTGGGAATGTTGGATGTAGAAATGAATTTTAGTGAGTTCATTTTTACATGTTGAAGAGTGTAGATGTGTTATATCATGTCTGGAAACTGTTCCTCACTAGGGTGAGATAGCAACCCCACTGGCTAGTTAGAAATGTACATGTCAATGTGTTTAATAAAGTAATAAGTTAAAATCCCTTTGGTTGATGTCTCTTTTATCTACAAACAATACAAATGGCAATCAGCAGCTGAGAAAGAAGGCAACTTAAGACTGCCCCCAGCATGAAATGGCTTTGCAACGTGTACTCAAATTGGCACAGTGACCAAGAGAACTCCAGAAGAAGGGGCTATACAACACTATCTCAATTGTAGACTATTGTGGCATGTGGGGGCTTACTTACTTTGCTTAATTTAGCAGTAGCATCAACAGAAGTAATCAGCAGGGTACAATCAAATGTTCCAGAAATCATAAAAGCCCTGACAGAGCCCTATTTGGCCTCTTCCATCTTCCTTTTCAGTGGTCTCTACCTAGAAGGTCTGCTATCTTTCCCACTTTACATTTTCAGTGGCTGCAATCTTTGTCTAGCTCAAAGAGCTACTCACCCCTTGCTGCAGAAGATGAGGCCTGTCCTGGTAGCTTCAATTCAGATTTCCTGTTCCTCCTGTGGGAACAGGCAGAGAAATCTTCCTTCAAGACATCCTACCAAAAGGAAACACTATACACAACTCTTGCTGTGGAAGACTCACACTAGTCCTAGAGGTTTCATACACAGATTTTGTCATTCCTCCCATGGAAACTTGCAGAGAAATCTCTCTCAACAAAACATCTACTCAAGAACTTTGTTAACTGGGAAGCCTTACTTTTCTCTCTGCAAAATACTATTATTTTGCACTCTCTTTCAACAAGAAATAAAAGCTGTTGAACATTTATTGTGAGCCTTGGGTTTTGTTCATTTCACTCTCACTGTTGAGCACACACACACACACACACACACACACACACACACACACACACACACACACACACACACACACACACACACACACAACTGGGAAAAATTCCATCAAGGGATATAATATAGTATAAAATACATATCTTCTGAGTTAGTATATTTGAACAAATGATATATTTTGATGTACTTTATCTACCAAACAATCTTATTATTACAAATACTATTTATTGTAATATTTTAAATTATTCACTAAAAAACATTATTTTTCTTTGCACATTTAAATTGTTACATTTTAACTTATTTCTTATATCTAGTGTTGAGATCTCACCAATTTACTGTTGAGATGTAATCATAAATTATATACTAACAGTTTTTTTCTTTTCTCATACTTCTATATGTCAACTTTAATCTGCAAAAATTTAAATGCAATGTCAATTGCTATCTACTATCCTCCTGATTACTTTTTCCTCTTTCTGCTCATTATTAATGTTTCTGTTCCTAATTCTTCTACACCTTGTGTCTTAGTGGCTTTACTGCCTTGCATGGGGTGATACCGATTAAGAAAAAGAGCTATTTATTCATCTGAAATCTGAAATCAATCTGCATATGTGAACTGTCTAAATATTTTTTTTATGTTAATCATTTCACCCCAAGCAAGGCAATAATACCACTAGGATTCAGAGAATTACAGAGAATGAGAAGAATTTAGTGAGGAAAGGGCAATAAAGGAACAGGGTCCAGGAAGACAGAAGATGGCAATTGATGTTGCATTTAAATCTTTGAAGTTGTTGGTGGCAGAGAAGCAAGAAATCGAAAGGGTGTTCCACAGGTGAAAAGTGCAAGAAAAGAAACTATTAGAATAGAACAGACGGTTGCATCTAGCTAATACACAGTATTTTAAACAGTATTTTACTGAAAACATATAGTAAATAGTTAACAAAAAAGATTTGAAACTAAAATTAAGTTATTCCCACAAGATTATGATGCTTTCATTAACTACTTTGACCCATAGTTCTTTCAATTTTCCTACTCAATCAGTCCTCATGTGTCCTCTGCTAATATATTGTTAAAGTTGTGTCCATTGACAATAAGTCTGCTATTCCTCTTAGAATAATCTAACTACACAGATTAAATAAATCTCAGGAGAAAATACATTCTTACTGCACCACTCTTTCTATTTGGTGTATTTATTATAGCTTCACATACAAATTGTTTGTTCCAAATATTGATTGCACATTATTCATATATCCTTTCCATGTACATCAAGCTCTACTTAACATTTCAAGAGAATACCTATGAATAGTCTATAAAAGATGTACTGTAATCATGTGTGTATAAAATGCAGGTTTTTCATTCAAAAGTCTGTTGTGTCTTATATTTTAGTTTAGAATTAAATCCTATTTTACAAGTACTTGAAACAGACACAATCCAAATTTGAAGGGTTTGACAAGGATCCACAATCAGATCTTAGATAACCATGAGCACAGAAAAATGACCTGGATTTTTCAAAAACAGGACTGCTTCACTCAGATTGTCACAAAAAATTAACACAAAACAAACAGTTTAATTTTAATTGAATTGCATTTCAATTTATTTTCTCAGTGTATATTGGTGATTTAGTAGTCCTATACCCCCAAACTTATTATCATGTTTTGATAATGCCCAGGAATTGTAAAGTAAACAAAATCTCCCTTTTTTGTTTTCATTTTTTCTCTTCCTTTTCCTCAAGTCTTAGTTATTATCTTTGCTCTAAAATTAGGTGTGTTTTGCACAAGAAAATAAACTTTTTTCCTTGGAATTTCTCTGCTTTTTTTAAACTATGTCTTATACTCCCTAGTGACCTATACACAAAAGATTATGATGTAAGTATTTTACAATTCTTTTGCTAATCCTGGTAGCATTTTTACCATAAAAATAACATTTCTTTTTTTTAACAACAAAGCCACATAATTCTACTTTATTTCCAATTACCTTGAGTTCCTTTATAAAATCCAAAGAAAAATCAGCATTATTATAAGACCTGACCTGGTGGCTTGGCTCAGTCACTTTCCCACTGCTGTAAGGTTGCCTCCCTTTGCCTTTTCTATAATTATTTACACGGTAATAGTTCAGATGAGTTCTTTGCTATGTTACCTAGACTTTTTGAATTTAAGCACAGTACTAGACTAGCATCAAGATCACATCAATTTATAATTGCGTTGGCTAGATGTAGCTGTAAATTCTATGCTAAGAATTTATTTTGTGCACATCTAGCTTTTGGAACAACCTTCTGTTATCATGATTTCCAACCAACTTTAATCTCCAAAAATTTAAATACAATGTCAGTCACAATCTACTATTC